AGGGAATTATTAACATCCTATTTAATTAGACATTAAAAAAAGCTATAGGAGATTAAAGACTTTTACAGATACTTTAAGATACCATCTGAGTAGGGGTGCCTGGGTGGCATAGTCAGTTGGGCATTCCACTCTTGGTTTTGGCTCAGGTCTGATCTCCAGGTTGTGAGATCCAGCCCCGCATGGAGCCCTGCATGGAGCCCCCATGAGGCTCCAGGCAGTGTGGAGTCTGCTGAGTTTCTGTCTCTCTCTTTCTCTCCATCTGCCCACCCTCCCCCCGACTCATTCTCTCTAAAATAAATAAATAAGTCTTTTAAAAAAAAGTTACACCATCACATTAGTAAGCTATTTCTTTCACTAGTAAACCCTGTCCTCTTTATATCGGAAGAGGAAAACTGATGTATTTCCTCATTCTCTGAAATGTAATTACCAGATAACTTCTTAAACATAACTTCTTAAACTTCTTGAACTTTTATTCATGGATGATGCATTATTCACTGTTTTCTAATTATTATATGTATACAGTTTGAAATAACTGTGTTCTCCTCTTTCCTCCCCCATTTAAATTAGCTTTCTCACTTAAATATCTAAGTTTCTGACTATACGCGTTTTTGCTTTTGCTGATTAACTTCCTCGTGAGTTTCCATGATTTTCAGAATGCAACACTGCTTCACCCTCTGCAAACCTAAAAAGCTCTTTCTACCTCTGAGGAGTGAATTTCGGTGATTTCTCTGAGTATTTTCTGAGCTCTCTACAACTCTATAAAGCTGTCTTACAGGTGACTCAAATAAACACCAAACCTGCTCCTCCCACTGTGGAAAGGACATAGTTCAGTAAGGGACACCACCATTTATACAGATGCTCAAGCCAAAAATCTGGCATCATCCTTGATTCCCTAACTCTCTTCTTTATCCCCACAGTCTGTTTCTATCTCCTGTTGATTCTTTTTCCTCAGTGCCTCCCAAATCTGCAGACTTTGCTCCAGCCCTATTACCGTCTCCCTCCCTCTAGCCTTAATGCGGATGCTCATAACTGGATTACTGCTTTAGTTCATCTAGTTTATGAACTATTCATCTATTATTCCTATATCTATCCAGCAGATAGAGTCATCTTTAAAACATGTCTATTTGACCTTATTACAGCGTAGTTGACAATACTGAATGTCCCTCTGTTGCCAAAAGGGCAGAGAACAAATTCCTCGATGTGGCTTCCACACCCATCATGAGCTAGTCTCTCTGTTTCTTTTTTTTTCTTTTTTCTTTTTTTTTAAGTCTCTCTGTTTCTTAAGTATCATCTCTCACCATTCTCCTCATGATCAAGCCATACCCAAATGTGCAGATTTCCTTGAGGCCACCATACTTTTAAACCTCTATTTATTTAGGTGTTTATTCAGGTGTTTCTTTGGCTCAGCGCATACCCCTCTTTCTCTCTTGGAAAAGGTCTTCTCTGACTCTGAGCAATGTTATTTCCCACATCCACCATGGTTTGTAACCACTTGCCCCACGCCTGAGGAGCCATGTCTGTTTTCTTCATTCCAGCATCCCCAGCACTGAGTATGAAGTAGTCAGAACACAGATTTGTTAACTAAATGAGTAGTATGATTCTAACTGAAAACTCATTATTTAAAAGAACTGAGAGTGAACGTAATCATTAAAAAATGTAAGAAACTTTTTTCCCCATAGGCACAAGTGGTCACATTTGATCCCTTGTGAATATCTGCAACATTCCAGAGTTTAAATCCCAAATGTTAAGTCTCTAGTCAGATTTGCACTTCATCAGACCTACAATCCAGACTGGGGTTTAGCTGCCCAAATTGATATCTGAGCTGACTCATTTTATTTTGACTGTTTGAAATTAGCTTCCACAGCTGTTGTAGTACTGCATTGTCAATCATCTGCCTTTTAGATCAGAATTTAACCAATTTGGAGGAAGAAAACAACAACCTGCAGAGGACTTATTTTTCAATGTTTTAGCAGAACGTAACTACCATTCTCCCATAGATATCCATTTAGAGCTCTCTCAGATTGTGTATATTCTTTACAAGAAAAAAAAATGTGAATGGGACTTGAGGCTATATCCTAAGTTTTTAACTTGTCCTCAGTAGATAAAACTTTAATATATGGTCTTTGAAAATAAAAACTGAGCTTTCCCCAAATGCTAAAAAGTAGGATAAAGCATTTAAGTTTCCCTGCTTTTATTCCACAAATGTTCACCAGACACTCTGGGCTTGTGATGAGTGCTCTGGTGGGATCATATTTTGATGTGTTTTATACTGTGCTTTGATCCTCTACCTCTTGTTACCTCATGACCCTTCTAACAACAGCTGGACATCTATGTGTCAGGAAAGGTTTTTACAGAAGAACACAGGAGAATAAAAAAATAGGTCTTTAAGCTTTAAATTTGAAATCATGAAAGACTTGAGACATAATATTTTTCAAACCATATAATCAGTTGGAACATTTTTCCTATTCCTAGATTAGATAGTCTATGTCAAGAGAAAAGAAGAAGAGCAAAACAGAGAACAAGGGAGAGGAACAGAAGGGGAAGGATAAGAGAAGGGAGGGAGCAGGGAAGGGGAGAGGAGGTGGGAGGAAAGAGTAGGAGAGGGGGGAGCTAGAGGGAAGCAAAGAATGAAGTGCTGGGGGATCCATCATTCAGGGCCCTGTTCTAGACCTCCCTGGACTCTATCTGGAGAGAAGGTTGGAACCTCCTGATAGGTTTGGGGACTAGTGAATGGGAGTCCATTCTACCTTTCCCTGGTAGGGTTGTGAAAAGCAAGAAGGCATCAGAGGTTTCCTGTGCTTGCTGTTGTATCAGCTAAGATCTAAAGAAGAAAACAGAAATAACTCTGCATAAAACTGAGGACATTTCATTGTGACAGGGAATGGCTACATTTGTGGCAGAGAAACTAAGAAGCCAAATAGGATGACAAATCTAGAGACACGAGCAGCCACAGGAAGCCACTACTCCCCCTACGCAGGAAGACCAATGAGAAGAGATGATGTTTTTAGACCCCAGGGGCCAAGGTCACCAAGAAAGCTGGAACCACAGGAGGCCTGATTGGACGGAGAAGATTATAAAGGAAATGTAGTTGATGGTGAAGATGAAAAGAAAGGTGGAGGTAAACTCTGGCCTCTTCCCCTTCTTAACCTCCAACTGCTCACAAATTCCTCACAAGGACATGACTCAGCCACTCTGTGGCTGGGTGAAAGAAGGGTGAGGCTTGGGCCTGAAGGCAAATGCACCCAGAGGTAAGAGCAGGAAAATGTCTGCAGGGCATGTCTAGGACTACGGACCTAAAACAGCCTCAGATTCCCCCAGCATGACCCAGAGGGGCTCAGAGCAAGGCATATATGACAAAGGAGCCTGAAGACTTAAAGGAACTTTGGAACTGGGACAAGGAAGACACATCAGGGATCTAACTAAACAGGAAAGCACAGACATCCCAGTGGATTTCAGCTTGGACAGAAGACAACATTAACAAGATCAGACTTGCCTCCATCATAATGAGTTGACTACATGCCCCCACCCCACTGGTACCATACATAGATGACACTACCAAGGAAAGGGAGAGGAAATCATCTAGCAGAATGGAGACTGAATCAAAATTCACTCTTAGATAAAGGAAAGAACCAAGACCAATAAACAGGTACAGTCTTACATCTAACTGAGCCCACTAAATGTCAGGAAAGAATGGACACAGCACAGATATCAGTAATGCAGTGAGAAATGAAGAGAAATAGGTCATGTTAAAGGATGTGCTGGGGCTGTGGTCTCACAGGTGATATTTGATGAGCTTGAGGGATAAATAGGGATTTAGCAAGCAGATAGGAGATCGTCACCTCTATTGTCTTCCTATATTCATTCCAATGCGCTGATTTTCTTTTTAATATTTTATTTATTTATTCATGAGAGACAGAGAAAGGCAGAGACACAGGCAGAGAGAGAAGCAAGCTCCATGCAGGGAGCCCAGTGTGAGACTTGATCCCATACCCCAGGACCATGCCCTGAGCCAAAGGCAGATGCCTAACCACTGAGCCACTCAGGCATCCCAATGCACTGATTTTCAAAAGAAGCCAATGCATTCCTTTTCTAACTACAGCCCATTAAAGTCTTTTTGAAACCTGGCAAATCTTTCCAGGTTTATCTTCCTTTTGATTAGTAAGTGGGGCAGTGCTGGAATGATAGGATGAATGTGAACTCAGTTTCAACTCTCATGTATATCAGCCGTTTGCAGGAAATGAGTTTCTTTCTTTTTTTTTTTTTAAGATTTATTTATTTATTTTAGAGAGAGAGAGAGAGCATGGGGGAGGGGCAGAGGGAGAAGGAGAGAGAGTCCCAGGCACACTATGTTCTGAACACAGACCCTGACAAGCGACTCCATCTCAGGACCCAGAGATCACAAGCTGAGCCAAACCAAGAGTCCAACACTTAACTGACTGCAGCACCCAAGTACCCCAGAAATCAGTTCCTTAAAATGATGCGATGAACACTGGGTGTTTATATGTTGGCAAATTGAAATAAAAAAGAAAATATAAAATTTAAAATGAATAAATAAAATGTATCCTTTTGTAGATTTGATGAGGCCATTTTTAGACTTTAGTTTTGAACTAAAGAGTGAGATCTTAAGACATTCAGCTAGTCTTACTGAATGTTCAGTCCATAAGAAAAACATACATAAGCCAACTGGAATATATTATTTCCACATTACCAAACTTCTATAATGAAACAGATTTCAGATCTATCATGTAACATTCCAACCTGTCAGGACTTTGCTCAAAATACTGAGTTTACCATTTTATAGCAGAGAAACAAGACCATTGATTTACAAATAACCTCAACTATCACTATTCCAGAAACAATATTCCTAATCTTACCTTTTATAACCCAATAATTTAGGAAATAAAAACAATTGATGTTCTCTTCCTTGTTTACAAAATGAAAAATGATTATATTGCTGAAAACAATAAAAGTCATTGAACTAATTTGAAAATTTTCTTTACCTCATTAGAGATGTTTGTTCCAGAGAGATCTACCGATACCAAGGAAAAGATGTATACAATATGTTCAATTCCTAAGTCAGTCAAATATTCACAATTTCTTAAACTCAAGTAGTTTAAATTAGAGCACCTGAAAGAGAGTACGAAGAATTAATTTTAGCTTTTAATCACTATGTCAGTAGTAATTTCAGACAGTAATCAAAACTGAGAGAAGCAAATGGTATTGAAGCAAGGACTTTCTTTTCCTCAAAATGAAAGTAAACTTAAAAGTGGAAAATAATTTGGCATTACAAAGTAGGATGAATTGGAGGTGGATTATGATATATTATTATATATGTAACATATACTATACATATTATATCTGTGGTTTCATTTCATATTGCAGCTTCTAATAAGAAAAAATACTTCATACATACAAAAAACTATCATATAAGTAGGACAAATGACCACTAAAAGTGGAAGGTCAAATTTCTCACTTATCCCTTACTAGTTTGCTACAGGAATTGGCTCTTACTATACACAAGATCTCTGACAAGTAAGGAGGATCAAGAACAAACCCACCAGCTAGAACATCCATTGGGAGAGTAAAGGTTTACATAGACAGAGATAATGTCCCTGAAAAGTGCAGAGAAGTCACTCACGTCTAGATAGTGACAGCTTCATTAATGACTCCCTCTCAAACATTGTCTAATGTGAAATTAATGAGAAACATCTCAGATATGATCAAAAGACTAGTCTACAACTCCAGTGTTTTTTATTTTATCTCACTGAGTATTAGACCTGTTTCTTGGTCTCCCAAGAGTTTCCAAAATGGCTCTGAAGGTTTATCTCTGATCTCTGCTTTAGCAGATACACAATTACTAATGATATGATGTAAAATTTTATTTTTTTATCATACCGCTCTGATAGTTTCACAATAGAGGCATCACTCAGGTGGATACAGTTACTTAAATTCAGCTCTCTTATCCTTGTGCTCACAGGACCATCAAGAAATTGCTTTAGTCCCACATCACCAATTCTGTAGGAAAGAGGAAAGCTTTACATGTGATTTTATATGTAAATCTATAGAGTACTACTTAAATAATAGTTACTACATTCAATATGTTCTAAAATAGCATGGTAATATCTTTATACTGGCATTGTGTTGATATTTTAAAACCAAATTTGGTTATATAACTTTTAGTGTTATAGGAAAAGTATAAATAATAGTAATGGGAGAAATACTAATTAAAATGTTCTTCCTGTCTACTGCTCATTCAATTTGATGGCATAATTATTAGAATTATTAACAAGACAGATGGTTCTTAAGGTCTCTTTCTCTTGGGTTAAAATGTGATCCAGTTAAGGAGTTCCTGATGCAGTCTCTCCTGCAAGAGCAAAACACCCAAACTTAGGAAAGAGAGAAAACCAAGACTAACAGGCAAACTACTGCCAGAATAGTGGAGGAATTTTCATGAAATACAAGGTCAAGTTAGCTGGACTGTATGTAAATCTAATGAGTGTGGATTTTTTTTCTGCTGAAGTACAGAAAACCTGGATGAAGACCTTGACCTCAGTCTTCCCACATTTTCTACCCCTAATTTAGAGATACCAGTGTGTCAGGGCCATCTCCATCCCCTGCCCCAACCATGCTTTATAGTTGCCTGGAGATCTGTTTGGCCCATCCATTCCTTGTCTTCCATTGGGAGTTTTATTTCTAATTCCATGTGGAGGCCACCAGCTCTTTCTAAAAAGCATTTCAGTAAATAAAGCACAACAGGAGATTGCACATTGCATCCTAAGAGGGGTGGCTTTCACACAGCACAACCCCACAAGTAGGTGTACTGATGGGAAGAGCCTTGGGAGCAATATATGTTGACTGCTGACAGCTTTTATACCCTGTATTTGGTCAAATTTACAAAGAACTGCGAAGTACGGACAGAAGGTGAATGGGCCTGTTTAAGCTGCATGGGCCATATTAAGTGGATACTTCCTGTGTCCATCAACTCACCTTCCATCTGTACTAGGACAGGGAGACAGTGGCAGCACGTGGGAAAGCAGTTAAGGGTCTGGTGGGTGGATGGGTGAGGGAATAGGAGGAGAAAAGGGAGAAAGAGAGTACAAATACAACTGATCGACTTATCTATTGGCAAATACGAGGGCTGGAGTAGTCATTGAGAGATCTTTTTACTAACCAGAAAATAAATACAGCATAGGATTTGTAAGACTTGAGAAAGCATACCTTTGAAAATGATTTTTCAAAGAAAATACAAAAACATTAGAACATATTAAACAGTGTAAACAAACAGTAGGAATTAATAAGTGACCTGGCTATACCAAAAATATTCTAAGATGCATTCTAAGATGAAAAGGCAGTGACCTGAGATAAGACAGATGGCAAACATAGCAGTGTTTTTCTATATATCTTGATTTTTTTCAAGATATGTCTTCTAAGGCAAGAAAAACAAAAGCAAAAATAAACTATTGAGGGACTAGATCAAAATGAAACCTTTTGCATGGCAAAAGAAGCTGACAAGATAAAACAGCAACTTACTGAATGGCAGAAGGTATTTGCAAGTTACATCTGATGAGGGTTTAGTATCCAGAATATATAAAGATCTTATAAAAGTTGGCCCCTGGTGACAGGGTCTGGAGAAGGGGCAGTGGGCACCATGTCAAGCCACAAAGGTGGCAGGAAGGAGCCCCTGAAGCAGCCCAAGAAGCAGGCCACGGAGATGGACAAGGAAGACGAGGCATTCAAGCAGATACAGAAAGAGAAGCAGAAGGAATTGAGGAGCTAAAAGCAAAGGCCACAGGGAAGGGCCCCTCGCCACAGTTGGAATTAAGAAATCTGGCAAAAAGTAAGCTCTTCCTTGTGCCTGAGGCAATGGTGATCCTTATCTCCATTCCTGTTTAAACATCTGTATTCTGTCCTCAAATCACTAAGTTGTACACCTGAAACTAAGGTAACCTACAGCTAGAATAAAGTGTTGTCTTAGATCCTGTTGTACATTTAAGAATGAACTTTTGTAAAAAGATAAAAAATCAATTGATCATAAAAAATAAGCTTCTACAAGTCAACACCAAAAAAAACCAAATAATCCAATTGAGATAGAGGACCTGAAGAGACATTTTTCCAAAGATTTACAGATGGCTAACAGACACACGAAAAGATACTCAATGCACTTATCACCAGGGAAATGCAAATAAAAACTACAATGAAATATCACCTCATACCTGTTAGTGTCTAGTAGCAAAAAGACAAGAAATAGTATTGGTGAGGATGTGGAGAAAAAGGAATACTTGTACACTATTGATGGGAATATAAATTGTGCAGCCACCTTGAAAAACAGTATGGTGACTCCTAAAAAAATTAAAAATAGGACTACCATATGATCCAGCAATTGCACTATTGGATATTTACCCACAGAAAATGAAAACATTAATTCAAAAAATATATATATCAATCCCATGTTTACTGCAGCATAATTTACAATAGCCAAGATATGGAAGCAATCTAAGTGTCCATCAATAGATGAACGGATAAAGAAAATGTTGTATGTATATACATATATATTATGTATATATACACACATTATACAATATACGCAATGGAATATTATGCAGCCATAAAAAGAATGAGATCATGCCATTTGAGACAAAATGGGTGGACCTAGAGGGACCTAAGTGAAATAAATCATACAAAAACAAAACCATATAATTCCATTCATAAATAAAATCTAAAAAAAATATGATTCCACTTATAAGTGAAATTTTAAGCAAAAGAGAAGAAAACCAAATGAATAAACAAACAAAAAGCTGAATCAGGGGATCCCTGGGTGGCCCAGCGGTTTAGCGCCTGCCTTTGGCCCAGGGCGCGATGCTGGAGTCCCAGGATTGAGTCCCACATCAGGCTCCCGGCATGGAGCCTGCTTCTCCCTCCTCCTGTGTCTCTGCCATTCTCTCTCTATGTCTGTCATAAATAACTCTCTTCTTCTGCTGGGCGTCGGGTCGATTTGCAGCTTCTTCTCTAGCTCCTTTATGTGTAAGGTTAGCTTTTGTATTTGAGTTCTTTCCAGTTTTTGAATGGATGCTTGTATTGCGATGTATTTCCCCCTCAGGACTGCTTTTGCTGCATCCCAAAGATTTTGAACACTTGTATCTTCATTCTCATTAGTTTCCATGAATCTTTTTAATTCTTCCTTAATTTCCTGGTTGACCCTTTTATCTTTTAGCAGGATGGTCCTTAACCTCCACGTGTTTGAGGTCCTTCCAAACTTCTTCTTGTGATTGAGTTCTAATTTCAAGGCGTTATGGTCTGAGAATATGCAGGGGACGATCCCAATCTTTTGGTATCGGTTCAGACCCGATTTGTGACCCTATGTCTGTCATAAATAAATAAATCTTAAAAAAAAAAAAGTTGAATCAGACCTATAAATACAGAAGACAAATGGATGGTTGCCAGAGGTAGAGAGTTGGGAGGATGCGCTAAATGGGTGAAGAGAAGATACAGGCTTCCAGTTATGGAATAAATAAGTCACGAGAATAAAAGGCACGGCATAAGGAAAACAGTTAATGATATTGAAATAATGGTGTAAAGGGACAGATGGTAGCTATATACAGATAGTGAGCACAGCATAAAGTATAAATTTGTCAAATCACTAAGTTGTACACCTGAAACTAATGTAACACTGTGTGTCAACTATACTCAAATTAATAAAGCAAAAAAGAATAGATGGCAAAGAAACTAAAAATTCAATGATAAGTAAAATAACCTAATTTAAATCATCAGAACCAAAACTGACCCTTTTAGAAAACTGGATTAATATGTAGAAGGCATATTTGAAAAGTTCTTTTGAAATGCAGAAGGGTAAAGAATTAAAAATAAATGAGATAAAAAATGAAGAACCAGGATTCAGTCTTTAAATAAAGAGGATTCCTGAGAGAGATAACAATAAATAAAGCAATAATCAGAGACATATAAAAGCCTTTAAAATAGCAAAAGAGGGCAGCTCCGGTGGCTCAGTGGTTTAGCGCCGCCTTCAGCCCAGAGTGTGATCCTGGAGACCGGGAATCGAGTCCCATTTCCGGCTCCCTGCATGGAGCCTGCTTCTCCCTCTGCCTGTGTCTCTGCCTCTCTCTCTCACTCTGTATCTCTCATGAGTAAATAAAATAAAATCTTTTTAAAAAAATAAAATAGCAAAACATACTCCATACATTAAAAAAGAGAAAGTAAATAAAAACAAAAGGTAAAAAGTACAAATAGTAGAGACATAGAACCCAAAGAAGTCCTAATATTTTAGTTTTATAATAATTTATAATAATATAAATAAGTTGAAAATACCTCCTATTAAAAGATAAGAGATTGTCAAATTGGTTTAACAAATAACTCTAAATTATAAGTAGTCTATGAGAAACACATTTAAAATAAAATGACAATACAACAAAAAAAATGCAGGGGTGCCTGGGTGGCTCAGTTGGTTAAGCATCTGTCTTTGGCTCAGGTCATGACCCTGGTGTCCTGGGATCAAGACCCAAGTTGGACTCCCTGCCCAGTGGGTCTTATTTCTCCCTCTCCCTTGCTCCTGTCCCCTGTTCATGCTCTCTCTCATAAATAAATAAATAGATAAATAAACAAATAAATAAATAAATAAAATATTTTTAAAATTTGCAAAGATGTATATATAATTTTATATTATAATCCAGGAGGCATCAAAAGTCAACAGAAAAGGATTATTCAGTTAATGTTCCCAGTTAATTGGTTAATGTAGTTAGTCCCAAATCTGGCTGGGCATCAAAAGCATCTGTGTTGTTTTAAAAAAAAAAAATACAGGGGATCCCTGGGTGGTTCAGCAGTTTGGCGCCTACCTTTGGCCCAGGGCACGATCCTGGAATCCCAGGATTGAGTCCCGCATGGAGCCTGCTTCTCCCTCTGCCTGTGTCTCTGCCTCCCTCTCTCTCTCTCTCTCTCTCTCTCTCTCTCTCTCTCTCTCATAAATAAATAAATAAATAAATAAATAAATAAATAAATAAATCTTTTTTTAAAAAAGGACTATCCTTTAAAAAAAAATACAGAATCTGGGATTCCATTCCTAAATATTCAAATTCAGTAGCTCTAGGGTAGGGTTTAGGTGTTTGTAGTTTTATTCAGCTCCTCCAGTGATTCTGATACCCTGGAATTTTTACTTTTAAAACATGTATATGTTTTTAATTTACCTTTTCATTACTGGTTTTTAATTTAATAGCATTGTAGTAAGAGAAATAGTTTGTTGATACCTATAATTTAAAAGTTGTTGAAACTTGCTTTAAAACGTCATGCATAGTCCATTTTAAAAAGGACTGATGTGTGGTTGAGGGAAATGTATATTCTCTGACTCTCAAAGTTACTGTTTAGGCTTATCTCTTATAGATGAGTTTTTTAAAATCTAATCTGAAACTTTTATACTAAACTTTCTCTGTCTTTTTATCCTACAATATACTCTTTAATATTTTATTTTTTATCTTTTTTTTTTTACCCTGCTATCATGAAAGGAATTATCTTCCATCTCTGTACTTTTCTCCTCAGTGAGTTCTAATCTGCTATCTGGAAATCCATTTAGTTTATTTCAATAACTCTTATATTTTGTATTTTTTAAAGTTGTTTTTTTTCTAAAAAAAATATATTTTATCATATTTTGTTTCCTGCTAATGTTTCTGATTTCATTAATTTCTTCAGATATTTCATACACATTTGCTTAATATCCTATGCCTGATAACTCCAATATCTGAATTATTTGAAGGTCAAATTTATTTTGCTGTTTCTGGTGACTCTTTTTCATGGTGTCTCATGTCTTCATACATGTAACAATATTTAATTATGAGCAGTTATATTTTATTCTTAATCTGAGGAATCCTAGAGGCCTAAATAGAAAATGCTCTCCTCCGGGGAAGCATTGAGTTAACTTCTTGCAGGAGCCTGGGCAATGGTGACATAAACATCTATGCTCAGAGCAGCGATACCTTTTATGTTTGCTTGCTATTCATTATTCATCTCAGAGAATGTTTGTTGAGAGAGTGGTGCAGAATCAGCATATTAGATATTGGATCTTTCTTCTCTTACTCTTTGTGGGTTCAGCAATGTATTTAAAGTATGTTTCATCAAGGATATAAATTGTGGCAAAGAGTCGTTTGAAATGTTTTGTCAACTATGGAAGTAGAAAACCTCTATTTATTTTTTTTTAAGATTTTATTTATTTATTCATGAGAGACACAGAGAGTGAGAGAGGCAGAGACACAGGCAGAGGGAGAAGCAGGCTCCATGCAGGGAGCCCGATGTGGGACTCGATCCTGGGTCTCCAGGACCCTGCTCTGGGCCGAAAGCAGGCACCAAACCGCTGAGCCACCCAGGGATCCCCACCTCCATTTATTTTAAAAGTAGTTAATCTGTAGAAACTTGAGTGAAATATGAGGATGAAATTCAACTTTTATTTTATTAAGAATTTGTCATCTGTTCATCTGTTAGGGAATCCACACGAGGAAAAATCTAACCAGTACTCAAGAGGAAACCCTTCAGTAAGATTGGTTCCTCCTAAGCAGCTAACAAAGCCCATTTGGGAAAAGGCCTGTTAACTGAACTAGCCATGAGAACCCTCACTAGGAAAAGTAGCCCTTAAGTGTTCCTGGGAATTCATTTAATCTTTTAAGGGCCCACGATTCCACATGGGTGCCCCTTCTTGGTGTTGCCACAGACTTTCATGTTTACTGACCAGTGAGCACCTTGAGGAGAGGGTCTTGCACATTCTAGATAATTAATATTTCTTGAATATATAACTGAGTGACTCATTACCTTATACAATTTGCCAAGTTCAACACAGTTAGTTGCTTCAAAGGTGAAAGCAACTTAAGGCTACCATCTGTTATTCTCTTGCAGTCTACCATGTAAATGTGATTGATGTTTGGATAATTCTTTATATATTGGAAGCATGCATCAGTAATCCTTTTATTTCCTGTTTTAAAACAAACAAACAGAAGACAAGTATTGTATTTGTAATTCCCCAAGAATAAAATTAAACATTAATGCTGAACCCCATTTTTAATATCACAGACCTTCAAATCGGATCTTTCTGAGGTTACAAGTCGAAAGAGCTTTAAAAGCACAATCAGAGATATGTGGCGCACCAATGAAAACTATTGATGTAATACGAGTGCACTTTTCAGCTAACGCCTTTAGAAGAAAAAAAGATGATTAAATTTACCACTGTGTATAGAACAAGCTTAGCAAAGTAATGAGGTTATTTATTTTCCTCAATATTTTCAGAAGCAGACATATTAACTATTAAATTTTCCTAATTTCAAAGACAATGGAACTTTAATTTATTTGAGTACAGTTACATTTGAGTAATGGAGAGGAATCAGAATTAAATCATGTTATGAAGTTGAGGGACAACATGAGAAAATGGAATGCTGAAAAATATCACTACATTTAGAAGTTTGACGTGTAAAACTAAAAGTTTATGCTTAGGCTACAGTATCTCTGAAACAAAAATATCCTAATTGTGAAACAAAGGTTCTTTTAGGGTGTGTAAGCCTTCAAATGTTCAAATGTTTGTGTGTGTGTGTGTGTGTGTGTAAATTTTTAATGATTTTCTTACTATAAAAACAACTAAATTGTAAATCCCATTCATACTTTTCAGTAATTCATGCCACTAAAAAATGTGCCCATCTATTAGGACTGAGAATAAAATGTACTTTGCAACTACCTACTTTTACACAGTTGTCTGTCAGAGTTGGCATGTCGTTGATGGTCAGATGCATAATTCCGGTGCAGCTGTTTGCAATGTTCCTGAAGCCTTGGACTGAAATCTGAATTGTACAGAGTAGATGAAAATGATGGGAGAACCCATTAGCATGACACCTAATAAAACCCTAAAGAAGTTATAACCAAAGGTATGTCATGATTTTGCTACTATATTTTAAAATTGAAACCATAAAATATGGCAGACGTATGAGGGAAAGAATCTAGTCTTTTCTTCTTTAATACTTAATTTCTTATATGTATGTTTTGTGAAATGATCACCACAATAAGTCTAGGTAACTTATTGTTTAATTTCTTATTGAGGCAATATTCACATAACACAAATTAATCACTTAAATAGGCCATTAACCATTCATAGTTTGATGCAACCACAACCTCTATCTAGTCCCAAAACATTTTTATCACTCCTAAAAGACACCTAATCTATTAGGTAGTTTCTTCTTACACATGCCTTCTCCCAGCCCCCAGAAATTACTATCTCTGTGGATTTTCCTATTAAATATTTCAAGTAAGTGGAATCATACAATATATAGTCTTTTGTGTTTCCTTTCTTCCACGTAGCATCATGGTGTAGCATCATGTATCAGACCTTATTCATTTTTATGGTTGAGTAATATTCTTTTTTTAAAAGAGTTTATTTCTTCATTTGAGAAAGAGCATGAATGGAGGGAAGGGAATGGGACAGAGGGAGAGAGAGAAGCAGACTCCCCTCTGAGCAGGTAGCCCATCACAGGGCTCGATCCTAGAACCCCAAGATCATGACTTTAGCCAAAGGCAGACATTTGACCGACTGAGCCACCCAGGCACCTCTATGGTTGAATAATATTCTATTGAATGAATATACCACATTTTGTTCAACTGTTCATCTGTTGATGAATAATATTTGGGTTGTTTCCATCTTTTGGATATTTTGAATAGTGCTACTATGAATATGCATGTACATCTATTTGTCTGAGTACCAGTATTTCAATTCTTTTGAGTGTAAACATAGGAGCAGAATTGCTGGACCATATGGTAATTCTATGTTTAATTTTTTAAGGAACCACCCAAATGTTTTCTACAGTGGTTACACTATTTTACTTTCCACAGGCAATCTAGAGTGTTCCCACTTCACATCTTTGCCAACATTATTTTTCATTTTCCTTTATTTTTTTTTAAAGATTTTATTATTTATTCATGAGAGACACAGAGAGAGAGGCAGAGATATAGGCAGAGGGAGAAGCAGTCTCCCTGTAAGAAGCCCTGTGTGGGACTTGATCCCGGGACCCCAGAATCACGCCCTGAGCCAAAGGCAGGCGCTCAACCACTGAGCCACCCAGGTGTCCCCCATATTTTCCTTTTAAAAAAATTTCCTAGTGGTTTTGAAATGGTACCTCATTGTGATTTTGATTTGCATCTCCTTAATGACTAATGATATTGAGCATCTTTTCATGTGTTTATCAGTCACCTGCATATCTTCTTTGGGCAAGTGTCTATTCAAGCCCTTTGCTTATTTTTTAATTGGGTTGTCTTTCTGTTTTTGATTTGTAAGAGTTCCTTATATATCCTAGACACTAGACCTTTAGATAGGTGATTTGCAAATATTTCCTCCCATTTTTGGGGTTGTCTTTCCCTTTTTAAATAATGTCCTTCGACGCACAAATTTTTAATTTTGATGAAGCCCAATTTACCTGTTTTTTTTTTTCTTTTGCTGCTTATGCTTTTGGTGTTATATCTAAGAATCTATTGCCCAATCCAAAGTCACAAAGATTTACCTTCAGTGTTCTCTTCTAAGGTTTATTATTTTAGCTCTTATATTTAGGTCATTGGTCCATTTTTTAAAAAAATTTATTATTTATTCATGAGAATACACAGAGAAGAGACAGAGAGAGAAGCAGAGGCACAGGTGGAAGGAGAAGCAGGCTCCATGCAGGGAGCCTGACGTGGGACTCGATCCGGGGTCTCCAGGTTCACACTCTGGGATGAAGGCAGGGGCTAAACCGCTGAGCCACCCGGGCTGCCCTCATTGGTCCATTTTTTAAAAAATATTTTATTTATTTATTCATGAGAGACACAGAGAGATGGAGAGGCAGAGACACAGGCAGAGGGAGAAGCAGGGTCCATTCAGGGAGCCCGACGTGGGACTTGATCCTGGGACCACAGAATCACGCGCTGAGCCAAAGGCAGACACGCCACTGCTGAGCCACCCAGGTGTCCCAGTCATTGGTCCATTTTGAGTTAATTTTTGTATTCGGTATGAGGTAGGAATCCAGCTTCATTTTTTTTGTGTGCAGATATCCAGTTGCCCCAGCACCAGCTGTTCAAGAGAGTATTCTTTCCCCCATTTAATGGTCTTGGAACCCTTGTTGAAAATCAATTGGCCATAAAAGTGTAGGTTTATTTCTGGTCTTTCATTCTATTTCATTTTTTTTATTTCATTGGTTTTTATGTCTATCTTAATGCCAATACCACACTGTTTTGATTACTGCAGGTTTGTAGTATTGATTTTTCTTTCAGCCATTATTATCCACATTAGTGGAAGCAGCGGCAGTGGAGAATATTCAAAATACTGAATGATCGAAGGATCAGATGCATTTGATTATGATGAATTTTCTTAAAATAATTTATTTAGGTTTCATTTCCTATAACAAATAGGATGAATGGGAAATCAGATGGCATTTAGACTCACTCACTGTAAAAGAGTGGTGATAATTAGACCGAGAGTCCACCCAGGAAGAGACAGCAGAGGGAACACCCCTGCAAAGTCATCGTCACAACAGCATGACAGAGAACAAGCAAGAGCAGCTATAAGGGACCTCTTAGGAGACCTCTGAAGACTTCATGTGTACCATCTGTCACTCAAGGTGACTTCCAAGGTTCTGTCATTAAAGCCTCCACCTATTTAAAAAGGACTATCCAAAAATTAGGGAACTGAGTGCCACATCCTCAGAACAACCAGAGCTCAGCTCAAATGCCGCCTCCTCCTTAAGTGTCCCTGAGCCTCAGATTAGGCCAGGGTCTTTTTAGACACTTACAGCACTGTTTAAGTATCATAACTATAGTTAAATTTACATTATATTTAATTGTTGAACTAACTCCCTTGTACCCCAGCTCCCAACAGGGTACCTAGAGTGTCAACTGAATAGATAATCAAGTAATATTACTACGTGAGTAAATGGAAGCATGTATGAATGAATTAGGAGAACCATGCGTATAGCTAGGTTCTGTTGCCCAGCAGACATGACAGTGTGAGCACCTGGTCAAAGGCCAGGAGAAGCCCTTGAGAGCAGGGTCTGAGCATGCAACCTTGAGGGGCTGCCTCAGGTAGAAATATATTTAGTCTATGTTCTGAATGCTTGTGTCCCTGCAAAATTCATATATTGAAATCCTAAACCCTCACGGAGGTGATGTCATCAGGATATAGGTCCTTTCAGAGGTAATTTTGGACTCTGCTCTCATGACTGCAATTAGCACTCTTATAAAGGAGGCCCCAGAGAGATCCCTTACCCCTTCCACCATGTAAGGTTATGGCAAGAAGGCGCTGTCTGTGAACCAGGAAGCAGACTCTAAATAGACACTGAATCTGTCAGTGCTGATCTTGAACTTCCCGGCCTTCAGAACTGTGAGAAATAAATGCCTGCTGTTTATAGCCTATCTAGTCTCTGGCATTTTTCTATAGCAGCCTGAATGGACTGAGATACTAGAACAATTTTTTTCTAAAGAGTTTTTGGGAAATATGTTTCTAATATCTGAACAATGTCTATTTTGGCCCAGGAATTTGAGAAAATTATCCTAAAGAAATAGAGCTGCACACAGAAATTTATTTATTTTTTTATTATTTTTTTCAACTTATTTATTTATGATAGTCACACACAGAGAGAGAGAGAGAGAGAGAGAGAGGCAAGAGACACAGGCAGAGGGAGAAGCAGGCTCCATGCACTGGGAGCCCGATGTGGGACTCGATCCCAGGTCTCCAGGATCGCACCCTGGGCCAAAGGCAGGCGCCAAACCGCTGCGCCACCCAGGGATTCCGCAGAAATTTATATATAAGAATTCTCTTTCTTAGCCCTTTGTTCTACTTAGACCTTCAACAGATTGGATGAGGCCCAACCAAACTGGGGAAGGTAATCTGCTCTACTCAGTTTACCAATGTAAAAGTTGACTTTATCCAGAACACCCTCACAGGGATGCCTGGGTGGCTCAGTGGTTGAGTGTCTGCTTTTGGCTCAGGTTGTGATCCTGAGGTCCTGGAATCAAGTCCTGCATCAGGCCCCCTTCAGGGAGCCTGCTTCTTCCTCTGACTGTGTCTCTGCCTCTCTCCGTGCCCCTCATGAATGAATGAATGAATGAATGAATAAATAAATAATCTTAAAAAAATTCCCTTCACACACAAACCTACAATAATGTTTAATAGAATAGTCGGATACCCCATGGGCCATTCAAGCTGGCACATAAAATTAACCATCACAGCTACCTTGGGGACTTTGGACATTTGAGATTCATAGCTGATGTTGTTTGCTCTTGCCTGCTTGGTTTTGGCTGATCATATGAACTGCCTGGCCACATTTTTATCCATATCATCATCTTTGAGATTATCCACTCTATCTGGCACCACTAAGTACTTGAACCGGGCAAAATTCAAAAGGAAAGCTTAAAGATCTTATTGTCACCTCATATTGTGAATTTAAAACAGAAACCTTCAAGCCTTTAAAGTTCCAATCCCAAATACTTAATTAAGGAATTTCAGTTTCTCAAAGTTGAATAACTACATTAGTAGGGGAAGCATTCCATTTTTAAATGCATGTGTCTGAGTATTATTTAACCTGTGTAGCTTTGTGAGAAATCATTTTTCAGAGAGGGAATGTGATTATCCAGTGTTATGGAAGTCTCCGCTCAGAAGTGACTGCTCACACTTGATGACCTACTACAAAATGGCAGGAGGTAGGAACAGCCAGAGAAAGGCAGGCTATTCCAAGGAGCTTGGACTTCTGCTATATGCTGAGATAGGCTCCAGGAGATAAGGAAACAGATGCTCAGGTTCCTTGATTGTTTTTCCCCAGATTAAAAA